ATGAACTGTCTTCAGTCGCTCGAACGTTGGGATTGTGGGTTTGAATCCCACTCAAGTCATGTACGCCTGTGTGTGCGTCTATTCGGTGTCTGTGTTGTCCTGTGTGTAGGCAGGGGCCTTACGACGGGCTGATCACTCTTCCAAGGAGTTCTACCTTCTATGTAAAAAAAAAAAAAAGATTACGAAACTGAAGAAGAGGCCAGGGCCCAATAAAGGAATGTAGAGCCATTGATGAATGAATGAAAATATTTAGATCCCATGATATTCTGCCATAGTTATACTATTCACTGAAAGACACCTATGTTTGTTCCTTTGTCAATCCCTTCTTGTTTGTCAATATCAGTTTGTCTGACAGATGCTAGGTTGCATTGAGTATAGTAACTGCAAATCAACATTTTAGCGAAGTGTCTGGGTGGATGTTCAGTTCAGTTTATTGTAATATTCCATCAATCAAGAACAGGCTACAAATGTCGCCAGTCTGATATAACCAGTCACAGATATACAAGACACCAAATACTCAAAGAATATACTACGCATACTTTGAATATTAAAGCTTCAGTCATACAATTACAAATCAAAACAACTCAACATAATACATTGTTAATTGGAAAATAAATCAGTCACTAAATACTAATATATACGATTAGCATAAAAGTATATTAAGTAAGAGCCAGCAAAACATTTTACATTCAGTAACACTGATTACCGGTCCTTTCTAATTAGTTTAATAAAAACCTAAAATTTAAAATAAAAGTAAGAAGAGGCAAAATAGAATTACTCAGTGACTGTGATAAGTATATAGTATCACAAATACCAAAGGGAATAGAATATCCCATTTTATTTATTGTTAAAAAACACCTGCAATGAGTAAAGGGAATTTTCTAGTAAGTACCTTTTTAATGAAGATTTAAACAGTTTCTTCTTGTCTATAATACCTATCAAATAGGACGGAAGCTGATTAAAAATCTTAATGCCCATGTAATAAACACCTTTTTGATAGATAGACATCTTGGTTGTGGGAAATGAAAATTATTTTTGCTTCTGGTATTTATACTATGCAAATCTGTGTTAGTTTTAAATAACTCTCTATTATATGATACTAAAGTTAATAATGAAAATATGAATTGGGAATATAATGGTAATATGTCTCTACATGAGTCTTTATTTCTTGAATTAGTGATAATTCTTATTACCCTTTTTTGCAGTCTAAATATGCTGCCACTATAAGAAGAGGTCCCCCAGAAAATTAACCCACACGTCATAATGCTGTGAAAGTAAGCAAAGTAAATCATCCTCAAGGATTCCAGTGATACAAAGGGTCTAAGTGTCATAATTACGTAGGAGGCTTTACATAATTTTACCTTGAGACCATGAATATGGTTTTCCCAGGACGGAATCATCAATAGTAATACCTAAGAATTTTGTTTCTGTGTTATTACTGATACACATATTGTTATAACTGATGATTATTAGAATAGTTAAACTAGAGGTATTCATCATTTTAAATTGTAGGTATTGAGATTTATTAAAATGTAATGCTAACAGATTGGTGTTAAACCACTTATTTAATTGATCAAATGAGAAAATAAGGTCTTTTTTAAAATTTATACAATTAGTATTATTAACAATTACACTAGTGTCATCAGCAAAAAGAACAGGTTGAGAAAAGGTATTTACCACTTTAGGTAGGTCGTTTATGTAAAGCTGAAAAAGCAGTGGACTCAGTACTGATCCCTGCGGAACACCATATTTAATCTTGCCCCAGTTCGAGGTAGCATTTACTTGTGCTATATTATCTTTAACAATGACACGTTGATACCTGTCTTTAAGATATGATTTCATTAGTGTATTAGCACTGTGTACAATTCCATAAAATTCCAGTTTCTTCAATAGTATGTCGTGGTTGACACAATCGAAGGCCTTTTCTAAATCACAAAAAATACCCCCGACAAATGACTTATTACATAATGCCTGCAAAATGTCATTGACTAAGATGAATGTTGCTTTTTGTGTAGAGGAGTTGCTTATAAACCCAAACTGTTCTGTAGATAATATAGTTTTGTTAATTGCATGTTCTAAGATTGTTGCATGAATAACTTTCTCAAATATTTTAAAAAAGGATGTTAATAGTGAAATAAGTGGCCTCTGTAGTCTAGGGGTAACGTTCCCACCTCATGACTCAAGGTACGCGGGTTCAAACCCGGCGGAGGTCTTGGAATTTTTAAGGGCGGAAAAATTCAGGGAACAAGTCCTCCAGGAGGGACTTTAAGCCGTGGGTCCCGTGTCGTAGATTTACAGCACGTAAAAGAACCTCATGTCTCTAGGAGACCTCTGAGCTAAATTAGGCAACTTTCCCGCCCAAGTAGTTTCCAATGCCTCCGGCAGATGGGGAAGTATTAGGTACCACTGCCAGAGGAGGGACGACCTCGCTGACAGAAAGGGACTAACTATTAGATACCACTGCCAAGTAGAGGGTAGAAACCTCGCTGGCAGAAAGGGGCTAGGTACCACTGCCAGAGGAGGGACAACCTCGCTGACAGAAAGGGACTAACTATTAGATACCACTGCCAAGTAGAGGGTAGAAACCTCGCTGGCAAAAAGGGGCTGATAGCGAGCATCAGTACCGGTAGGGGATGGAGACAGTAGAAATTAAAAGGGGGACGTACAATAGACTATCAGCCGCGGTGCATGGGGAAACCCACCCCCTCAATACTGAATAACTGAATAATAGTGAAATAGGTCTATAATTCTTAATATCTTTTTTGTCGCCCTTTTTTGAATAGCGGTATTATTACAGAATATTTCATTCGCAAAGGAAAATTATCTGATAAAATTGATCTATTGCAGGTATGATTGAGTGGGGCAGCAATAAAAGAACTTATTTGTAAAATTTTGAGAGAAATTTCATCATATCCAGATTAGTTTTTAGGTTTAAGGGCTTTAATAATTTTAGCAATCTCCTTAGTCAATGTGTGGTCCAAAATTAAGTTTTGAAAGGGATTCTTAAAGACTCTAAATAGGTAATCCATACATTCATTATCACAGTTATCTTTACTATTGATGTTGGATTTTATTTTATCAGCTACAGAGAGAAAGTAGTTCTGAAAGGCTTCGGCTATGTCTTGTTGATTCTTTGGTGTTATTGCATTACCAGTGTCTATAGATTGAATTACCTTGCTATCAGTTTTCTTGTCAGTTATAGATTTAACATTATTCCATGTAGTTTTCATTTAATTACTTGACTTTGTTATTAATCTATCATAGTGAAGCCTTTTAGCTGCTTTTATTACATCAGATAATATTCTACTGTACAATTTGTAATGCTTTTTTAATTTATAATTATTATCGTTTTTGTAAAGTAGATAAAGTTCCCTTTTGTGTTGACAAGAAACTTTTATGCCTGGAGTTATCCAGTTTTTATTTTTAGTCCTATTATTTGTTATTATTTTTAATGGAAAGCTGGCATAGAAAACTCTCAAAAAAGTGTTCAGAAATTAATTATACCCAGTATCAACATCATCACTGTTAAATGTCTCGTCCCATGTCTCATAACTTAAATTCATTTTGAAATTTAACAGAGTATGATTATTGATATTCCTTCTAGATATAATTTTCTGTTTATGGAGATGCATACCGGCATTCTTAATAATTAACAGTTGAGCATCATGATTCAATAAACCATTAAATATAGGATAGGCTGAGTGATTCTTATATTGAGATGGATCAATAAATATATTGTCAATCAGCGACTCCATACTATTATGACTTCTAGTTGGGAAGTCTACGATAGGAACAAGACTATATGATGACATGATAACGTCAAGTTGTTTTTTCATGTGAGATTCCTTTAGGTAATTAATATTGATGTCACCACACACAATAATTTTTGCATTATAGTTAAATATAGATTTTAATGTTATATCTAAGTTGTTTAAAAACTGAATAAAATGTCAGAATGGAGCCCTATATACAGCTATTATATAGGTTGATAGTATTTTTATTGCACATAATTCAGTATCTCATTCGACACACAATTTGTCCAAGTTAACACAGGAATAGTTAATGGAATTGTGAATAAAAATCCCAACTCCACCCATTCTAAAGTTTTTTCTGCAATACATAGCACACCTTTTATAATGGTCAATATTACAATTTTCGAACTCAAGAGAATTCAGATGATGTTCTGTTAAGCAGATAACATATGGCCAATCAGGATATAATGCACTTGATAACTCACAGGTTTTATTCCTCAATCCTCTAATGGTCTGATGAAAAATTCTAAAGTCAGGGGTGTTATCATACAGGCAGGAATAATGTTTAAGGTCACTACCTTTCTCAAGTGGATTACACTCTTTATAAATGTTGAGATTTGTAGAAATATGAATTGAATTCCTATTGTCTGTAGGTGAATTTACCATAAAAAATCGTCATTCCTAATTACAGGTGGCCTCTTTTGTCTAGTAGAGGTTCTACGTGGATTTCTCTCATCAATTACAAATTCCTGGTGGTGTATATCCTGATCTTACACTGCCTGTTTATTCTGTGAATGACTATTTGGCCAAGCAAGAGATATTCTAGTACCCTTATCTTCTTTCAAAACTGAATAAATATGAAAAAGTAGACGGCTAGAAAATAACTCTTTACCCAACCCATTTAAATACAATCCATGTGTAGTAAATAGCTGTCTATTATTCTCAACTTCCATTACATTAACATGGGAAAAGAACTTAGCTAGCTTATATAACTTCCTATTAAAAATTTTGATTTCATTATTAATATGGGAATTCATAAGGTCATGCCTAAGGGGATGCTTAGTAATATAACGTTAGTTTGGTTAACATTTTTCACAAAACTAATCGCATCATGAAAACCCTTTCTAAGGTCATTTCTACTTGCATCATTTGTCCCACTACGCATAATTAAGAAATAGTCCATTGTAAGGTTTCCAATATAATTTTTTACTGAGTCCATCACAGATTTTGATGAAGCTCCTGGCTTACCATAACGAAGTACTTCAAGCTGATCATTCAAAAAAACTTTCATGAGCTGCACAACCACATAGATGGCTATCACTTAACAACAGAACTTTATGCATGCGGTGACTTGAAAAACTCTTTTTGTTGTCTAGAAGCTTCCGTGAGGATTCCCGCAGTAAAACGTGCAAATGTGTACTTATTAAAAGAACGCAAATACGTGGTCATCAGATCGTAAAAGCTTGATTGGTCTCTTGATTAGATTTACTTATGAGAACGGGATATTGGCAAAGACATAAAGGTGACGTCAAAATGAACCTGAGAAAGACCTGATTGTGTATATAATTTACCTATATGGAATTTTTAAGCGGAAGTAACCATAGAAATGTTCACGGAGGAAGGCCTAGGCCCACTGGGGCTGCAGAGCCAAGAAAAAAAAAACAACATAGAAATTGTCTAAGGAAATTGCTCATCCTTTGGTTTGGTAGCTACCATATTCTAACGAACGCGGAAAGTGTCGTTTAAAAATTAGTTACCTAATTTCGAATCTTTGTGCCAACTGTTTCCTCATTATTCTGCTATTATTCCCTTTTGCATCTCTTCATTTCCGATTCAGGGAGTTGCCTGACGGAAATGAGTCGTCGCCGGTTCTAGGAAACTCAGAGGAGTTGACCGAAAGCTTAGGCCAGAGGGGGTGTGAGGTTGTAATTGTAGTTTTCTCTAATGGATAGTCAAGGCAGGAAAGTTATTGTATGTGACAATGGAACTGGGGTGTGTATAATTAATTCATTTATGTATAGTAGAACAATGTTTTTAACGTTTAGTGTGTAAATCGAATTTGTTTCACTGATGGTTTTGAAGTTGGAAACCGCGATGAATAACCCATGTCTGTCAGAAATCTTGTGTTTAAATGTGTTAGGTTAGAACGAGTCTTTTTGAATTCGTGCATATAGACAGATATTGAAATGAAATGAAGAACATGAAATCAACAAGAAATTTGTTAGAACTGTTGCAGGCCTGTAAAAGCTAAGATACAAACACTCGAAATTCTTAATATTAGTTGTTCATAAGGATGTAAGCTTAACGAAATGCATTCACATGGTGTCATATGTTGTGCATTTTATCTCCACATGTTAATTAAAATAATTGAATACCTGTTTTCCAATTTTAGAATTTACGTTTCATCTTTCAGTTTGTTAAGTGTGGCTATGCGGGATCCAACTTCCCAGCCCACATTTTCCCATCAATGGTTGGGCGACCCATCATTCGTGCAGTTAATAAGATTGGTGACATAGAAGTGAAGGTAGATTTTAGTTTATTGTGTTTCTCATGTATTTACTTGCTTATTCATACTAATTATACATATATAACATGTTCATGCTGACAGAAGATTTATTCATTATGGGCTTCAAAAATGTTCTTTCTTAAATGCAGTCTTTAAGAGTTGGTAGCATATTCTTTCTTGTGTACCTAGCAAATAATTGAAATCAGCAGTTATGTAGATTGTCTAAAGACCAGTAAAATTTCTTTGTATTCCGAAAAATAGCAGCAACAGAAGTAAGTTAAAAACACAATGACAAGTGCACCTGTGATATTCTTGTTCTGAAATGCAGCAAGCAGTTACTATGTACTTTTTATTTCGTGACATTAGTATTTTAGTTAAAGGTTTTAATATTGTACAACAAATTCACCAAATAAGTCATTAAGGTCACTGTTTTCTGGGACACAGTGCCATGTAGTCTGGTACAGAGATGCCAATATTTTGAAGAAACTGGCTGTCTCAGTTTTCTTAGACTACACAGTGACATATTCCTGAAGTTGGTAATCTTGACATTCAGAAGCTCAAATCTCACAATTAATTATCATATCCTTAGCCTAATTTCCTTATTAAATACAATGGTAGTGAACTTATGAGATAACCTTTGTGTGTGTGTGTGTGTGTGTGTCTGCCTGTCTCTGTGTATCCCTCCTCCCCAAACAACTTTTGAATGACATCATGAAACTTGGCATGTATGTCATGTCTCCTGAGGGCATCTCAGCAGTATACTAAATAAAACCCTCTCATCAGTAATGTCAACACTACATCCTTTCAAATTGTTGAGTAATAACCTTAATATTACTTGAATGCCTGAACTGATTGTCGTGAAACTTGGTATGTATGTTATTCTGCCTGAGGCCATCTCAGCGACATACTTTATAAATCTTTCCCATCAGTAATACCAACTCTGAAGCTTCTGAAATCATTGTATTGACCATATTATTGCTTGAATTCGTGAGTTGACTGTGATGAAACTTGGTATGTTATGCCATCTGAGGCCACCTCAGGAGCATATGTCATAAATCCTTTCCATCAGTAATACCAGTACTCAAGCCATTCAAGTTGTTGAGGTAGAGGTAAAGTTGTCCCTGTGGTTAACTAATTAATATGGAACGGATTTTTATGCCCTAATAATCCCTTAAATATGTATGCATTTATGCATGAAAAACTTCCGAAATATGCACTAAAATATGCACATAAAAATTTATACCAAATATTAAAATTAATTTTACATTATTTTAAGACCAACAAAAGCTATACTTAAATACAAATCATGCAACAAAGCCAGCATATTTCATTACAGATTTAAAAATACCAATGGTACTCACATTTAGCTCTCCGAACTTTCAACTTTTCTTCTGTTGCAGTTCACAATTACTAAATGTTTTAGGTTTTCCATAGTTAGTCGCCTCCTATTGTCTCATAAGATGTCGTTATAGCGGGAAAAACTTCTTTCCACCTCACAGGAACTTAGGGCCACATGTACAAAAGCTGCTATTTGCTCCACTGTTAGTGATTTTTTACTTGGCAGTTCAGTACGTTTACCGGCTAAAATTTCTTCAGTTTCACAAATTTATTCATACCTTGGAGTTTTTTAAAGAATGCCGTGTACTTTTTCCTTTATTACTTCACCAACTCTTCCAGGAACTGAATTCAATTTGGAAACAGTGGTTTTGAACACACTTAACTCTTTGACTGGCGCGGGCGTGTTTTAACGCCCGGACGATGCCAGCCGTTCCCTGGCGTTGGCATGTTTTAACGCTTTGACAATCTCTTCCCTTCTTTGTTCCCTTGGCACTCATCAACCAAAGACATATATATGATAGTTTTGTGCATGTTTGTAAAGAACCCTTGTATACTTTGTGGGGGTCTATATTACTGTCAGAACCCTCTGAGAAGGAAAAGGTCAGAAAATATTTCACATTCATTCAGTTTCACCATGGCTTCTTGCAGCAAGTGTCTTCGTGTTCCTACAGACCAGCTGGAAAA